TGAACATTTATTGTTCTTTGAAGAGTTCTAGCAGTTAGGAATTTGCTTCCACAGTGTAAATAAGACCTTGACACATAGGATTTTGAATTATAATCCTGCCTCTTTTTCAAGATGACCTTTCAAGTTTAGTAACATCTTGAACATCAGATTCTTCATTTGGAAAATAGTGAATTATCCTTTATTATTGTTTCATATCTGGAAACATCTTATAAATTATAAAGCATCTTTACATATTAGATAATAACTATAGTTTGTATGGTACATATAAAATATATGAAAAATCACTCATATAATTTCATAAGGAAATCCCATTTCTCAATGTTAGATAAAATTATTCTAAAAGGCATTTTCCTTTGAATTCAAATTTGTTTCCATGTGGTATTATACATTATGACTTTTTTGTAAAAGAGCAGAATGGTCTAGCTTTTCTTCTATATAATTATATAATAATTATATATGTATATAATCAAGACATCTAGTAGCCTCAAACTCTATAGATTATAAAAGTCTAACCTTAATTGAAGAGTTTTCACTTTTCTAGAACTTTAGGAACACAGTTGGATCTCTAGTAAAATGTTTAAAAGGCATTTGAAATAAAGGAGACCCTCTGAGTTTAAGTGTATTCCTGTGGCTTCAGACCCATATATAACTGAACATTATATTTAGTTGGATAAATTGTTCTAAGATACCCCACTGAAGTTAAGTTGTAAAATTATGGTTTATATTATATAGTAAATTTCTATACTGTCTTTAGGGGGCAGTGCTATACCACCGATAAATTCCTTTATTTGTGCTAAAGCTACTGGTAATGGTTAATAAAAATAAACCTAAAATAGCAATGACAGTATTTGTGATACAATATGTACACCCCTTAATATTAGTTAAATTTTCTAGGCAGTCAAATGAAAATGACAGTATACTCAATTGCTAATTTATCTAGTAAATATTAAGCTCCATTATGTACAATCAATTGTATGATTGTGAAAAGGCAAACCTTTCACGTAGCTTACAATTCAATAGGGGAAATAAATCACACCTGTATGTGTATGTTGGTATGCATGTACACTGTATGTACATAGAACTCTTTCAGATAAACATAATAATAAAAATAGCAATATTATTGCGCTTACTTTTTGTGGATAAGGAAACTGAAGATTAGTAAAATCATGTGATTTTTCTTCAAGTCATGAAGGCTGGAACTTGCAAAGCTAGGACTTGAATGTAAACTTATTTGAAGTCAATGCCGTTTGCCACTTTGTCATCTATCATTTTAAATATATATGTGAAATATATAAGTATAATTTTGACATCTGGATGTTCAGGAGAGAGTAACTATTTCAGTGAGAAATAAGGAAAATTTTAGATAAGGGATAAAATCTGAACTAAAATTTCAATCTTTGGGATTATAAGAAAATAAGAGCTAAAAATAGTAGGTAGCATCTTTTGAAATCTTATGAACTGTCAGGTATTTTATATCCATTACCTCATTTGATTATTATTTTTTATATTTTTATTGTAAAAATACTGTACAGAGGGGTTACAGTTACACGAGCAAGATAATGAGTACATTTCCTATCAAGCATTGTTACCTCCTCCTTTGTTTTTCCCCTATCATCCCTTCCCTCCCCACCTCCCAATTCCTCCCCACCCCATTTAATTAGAAAAAACAAAAATAAAACAAAAAACCCTGCTATTTTTCCATGGCACAAGGCAAGTGAGGCTGACTTGTTCATATCTACTGAAAATTGAATCACTAACAAGTATGACAGTTGGAACTTGAATCCAAGACTCTGTAATTTTAGAGACTAAGCTCTTAACCACAACAGTTTGCTATATAAAGAAGTAAAGTAGAAGGTACAAAATAAACGAATAAAAAAAACACTGAAACATGATTAGGCAAGTGTAAATAGTTCCATTTCATTACAATCTGTGTGAATATTATGGATAAGAAAAAAAAAGAGAAAAAGTTTGATCATAGAGAATTTGGTTATTATTTTCTATGTAGCAGAAAATAGAGAATCATAAGCAGGAAGGAGACATAAATATCTTATTCTTTATAAAGAAGATGGAGATGGAGTTTCACTCTATAATTGAATTAAATAATTTTAGATCCATTAAAACAGTGGTAGGTCTTAGCCAAGAATGTAATGATTTATTGTGCCATGACATGAATTGGTAAAGAAACTTCTGATAGTTTAATACTTTTTCTTTTTGAGGATAATATTGATCAGACATATAAATGTCCTTGTTAGATTAAGGTTTTAGAATTTCCATTTTTTTTCACCCAGTGAATCTCCAGAATTAAAAGTTCATGTGCTCATCATTTTTTTTATTGTTAATTTGAGAAGTGTTTATTTTGGAAGCTATGGGCTTCTACATACAAATTGCAGAAAATGTCACTGTATGTCACAGATGGAAGAATGCTTTCAGGAGTATTATAAGTAGAGACATTAAGAAATATGTCTCTTTGGTTTAAGCTACAATGACATAATCCTGGGTTTTGTGTTTTTTTTAAAATATATCTTCTTTTATAGTACATTATTCTGTGTTTATGTAACAGTGGGGAATTGGGAAAGGCCTATGGTTTGGCTATTACCATCTCTGTTACTTTTGGTTTTGCCTTTCTATGCCTTATTTCCTCATTTATAAAACTAGAGGAAAAAAAAAAACTAGAGGAAAATGCTGTTTGCCCCAAAGAGCTGTTGTATAAATTAAAATAATCCATGAAAATTGTTCTTTTGCACACAGTCACATAATTAAGTTTTCCACATAAATACAGATATTATTGTATTTCCAGACAGTAATTGAGGAAGTTATTAATTTATTATTGCTTAGTTATCAGAAATTGGGGGAAAGTGAAGATATGGATATAGAAAAATTCCTTGAAGTAAGAAAAAGAAACTTTTATATTCCAATTTAGAAAGAAACCACTTTTTAAAAAGTGTATAGAATATTAACAATCAAATATATAGAATATTTTTGATAATCTCAGTACTTAAGACCTATCTATCAGTGTTGTGCTGAGAAGTATGAAGATTTTTATACAAGTTTATTATTTTCATTTATATAGACATATTAAAAATTTCAGTCTGCTGGATAGTCTACAGACTTTAATATAAATTTTTTCTTTAGTTCCTGCAAAATTTCACTGTTTCTTTGACCTTCCAGTTTCAATTTTTTCCCCTAAATGTTCAGATGTTTAGGATTCCTGTTGACCAAGTTTTGCACCCCTTTATTGATCTCTTAGTCTTCTTAACATACAACTTTTTCTTTTATTCTTTTTTTTGGGAAATATCCTCAAATTTATTTTCCAAATATTCAATTACATTGTATATATGTATATATGTATGTATGAAATATGTGTATACACATGTTTGTGTATATTATGCATGCATGCATGCATTTTGTGGCAATCTATGTTTTAAAAATACTTTGTTAGAGCCTTTCTTCAAATGTGTAATGATTATTGTTTATAGTTAATGAAAACACTAGGTACTGCTTATTTTTATGGAATTTGTTGAGCGTGGGCTTCACAGTAGGAATTAAGATGTAGAACCCACCATTTTCTTGGTTATTAATAAATCTTTTGTCTTAGGAGATTGTCTTAGTTCATTGTTACAAATTTGTACCATACATGGGGTAAGCTTTAAAAATGCAGGGTTATTTTTGGCCCACAATACTTGTGATTTAAGGCTGAAGGGTCATATCTGGTGGTAGCATCCTGACACACCTGTGTGTCCTGGTTTCTTTCTTTTGTAAACTCAGCAAGATTCTTTCTGGGATCTCAATGACTCATCTTCCAAAGATTCCATTTCCAATCACCATAGCTGGATTAGGTTTCTATCCTCTTAATAATTCACAAGGGGCATTAAACTACAAATGAGTTTTAAAGGTGACAAACTATATTTAAACTCTATAGATAAGTGCATTTTAGTGTATTCTGTACCTGGGAAATACCAAATAAAACATTTATGCTTTCTACAGCAAACATGAGAAGACACTGAGTGGGTTGGGAATTTTCATTTATATATATGTATATATATATATGGTATTAATTCTCATTTTTAGAGTTTTTCTGTATATGGATTCTTAGAATCCATAATCTCTTTGTTTCAACAACTGAAAAAATACATTTGCAATTTTTGTGGGGTGTTTTTGCTAGTTTTTTTTTTTTTTTTGCCCAGCTTCCTGGCTGGGTAATGAGCCTAGAGGCCTAACATCTTTTGATATTGTTTATCCTGTTTTAGTCTCATAACTTCACTGGTAGTCAATCCCTCCAATTATCTCCCCACCACAAACATCTTACAATGTTTTCAAGTTTATTATTAAAACAGTTAATACCTACCTCTTCCTCCAAAATTACCCATCATTGACCAAACATTTTCTTGAGGTTCTTCATCAGCAAACACTTCTACTATTGTCCTTGTTCTTGTGGTTTAAATATTTTAATAAATTCTCTACTGTCACTTTGGTGAGAATTTGGATGTGACAAAACTAATGTTGTATGGTATCAACATAGAAGTCTTGTTAAAAATTTTAAAATGCTATGTTGTATGTATACAAATTTATAAAGTTTGCTTTTGATGGCATGGTGAAACTTCCATTTTAGCCTCCAATTATTTCATTAAAGTGTTTTCATGTTGGTCCTCTTAATTGCATTTTCTTATAATTTTATCCCAAAGTTAAATTCTTAATAAGCTATAAGATTTTTTTCATTTACTCCTCTTTGCAGATATTCTTGAGTCATTTTTATGTCCTGTCTTATATTATGAACTATATATTACATATATTTTTTCTCACTCAGTTTTTCACTTTCAACATAAATTGAATTTTACATATTTTTTGGCTCAGTCACATGGCAGACCTAGCTAACTGGCTTGAAGAGAGCTGACTTTTGCTTGCTAAGATAACACCACAAGTAATTTATATAAGTTGATTGATGTTAACATATATAAACAACACTGATATAATATATTGGTATAATATAAATTTAATTTCAGAGAACTTCATCTACAATAAATTTGTCACCAGGAGAAGTGGAAGAAGATGATGATGATGAAAATACTTGTGGGCCCACAGGACTTTGGGAAGCATTAACCCCTTGTAATGGATGTAGGAACCTTGGCTTTCCCATGCTTGCACAGGTAAAGGCTTGTTTTTATTAAGGTACAATAAAACATTAAAAAACAGTTGCCTACTTGATAGTAAACTTTCCCCTCAAAAACTTACTATCTTTTTTCACTTTAGAATTTTTATTCAGTTAACTTTCTATGCATGTGTGTACAATATGAAAAACCATAATTTACATAAATTTTATTTTTTAAAGGCTGGTTTGCAAACTGCTCATTCATGGCATTTCCTGTCTGTAGTCCTAGCTACTCAGGAGGCTGAGATCTGAGGATTGTGGTTCGAAGCCAGCCTGAGCAGCAAAGTTCTTGAAACTTTTATCTCCAATTAAAAAGTCAGAAGTCAAAAAAAAAAAAGTCAGAAGAGGAGCTGTGGCTCAAGTGGTAGAGTACTTGTGTTGAGAAAAACCTTAGGGACAGCACCCAGGCCCTGAGTACAAGCCCCAGAACTGGCACTCCCTCCCACTCCCAATCTTTTTTGTTTGCAATACAGTTCTAGTGTATGAGGTTTTTAATACTGACTATTCAGAAATAAATTATTTTAAAGAATGCTATTAAAAATTAAAGTGATTGATAGATGTAGTTACAGTTTAGAATGTTTAAAAACATACCCAGTAAAATACACACACATACACACACATTTGTTCACAAAACAATGGGAACATTTTAGAATAAGGCACATATGCACTACTGAGGATTTAGAGGTTCATTCCAAAAGTGAGAAGATAACAAAATACTAAAACATTTCAAACTACCATTTGAAATCATTTCGTTATTCATTAAGTCAACTTTAATTCCGTCACTTCAATTTTAAATTTCTGTTGTGTTTTGGATCATAATCACTTAGGGCAGTTTTAGAAATGAGCAAAATATTTCAGTTAGAAAGTTTGAATCTACTATGAAAATCTATGTACAAATGAAAAAAAAACAATTGAAAAGAATATAATATGGAATGATGGTAAGAAATTGGAGTAAAATAGACAGATAATCACAGTAATTGTCTAGAAATGTGAAGTATAATATTTTTCTGCTTTGCAAATATAAATATGCTGTGTGACACCATTATTTTTTACATGTGTGCTTCACAGTTGAGTCATCACTATGAAAATTACATTTTTTTTGGTGGAAAGCTAAACAGGATATTTAAATCAGCGTATAGTATTTAAAATATCTTCATAGGAATTTTAAAATAGCTTGCATATTTTTATAGAGTTAATAGGTACTGAATTGTGTGTTCCATAAAGGTAGAAATTCAGTTGTTTAAAAATTATGTTAAAAATCTGTGCTATAATATCAAGCATAGTTCCTGGCAGAAAATAGGAATAATTGAATGACTCAATGAACAAATATGTATGTTCTAAGGTTCTAGATCTTCACTTAATGTTTTTACACATAGTATAGATTTTTACCTCATAAGTGAAGGAGAAAAGAAAATGAACAAGAGTAAATTGTATTTTATTAATATACTCTCATTTGCTTAGCAATTTTATAATACTGGATTGTGTTTATTTTTTCTCTTGTAAAATTAATGTCTTTGTAAAGATATTTTAATTATTGCTGTGTCTTAAAAATAGAAATCTTACAACAAAATTAAAATATTAGGGCTCTTACTGTCATACACAGATTACTTGATAACTGAAGTTATTAATAATATCCTTATATCTAGTTCTACAACACCTTACTAAGAATTAGTTTTAATATTTAAAAATTTTTATTTTGTTAGGTTTGGTAGTATATTCCCTTGGTTCATAATTTTTGTTAGATTTTTATTTTATGCTTAATATTACTTTATTACAACCTAACAAATTTAATAACTTTAGATTCTTTAGATTCTTTCCAGGACCAGTTTTTTCTAGCCATTTCATCCTGAGTATTTTGGACATAATTTTGAAGTATAAGTTACTTATTTTCCTCATATATAAACTACAAGGCATAGTGATGTTGATGTTAATACTTTGTGTTGATTCAAAATCATTAAGCAATAGCACATTAAAATCATTAACTTCAGTGTTTTTTAATATTTAAATTACAATGTGAAGTCTAAAAAATATACCTATTAGAATTTTATTATTTCATTAAAATACAAATTTACTTTATCTTTTTACTTTAAAATACAAATTTATTTTATGGATTTAATCTTAAAAATATGAAGTGGGATTCTTTCACTAGTGTTCTTTATAAGTTCTTATGGTGTATGTGTATGAATTCTTATGGTGTATGTGTACAAATATTACTACCTATGGGCTCTCTAGCCCATAAACATTATTTTGCAATTAACATTATTTTGCGATTGAAATATATGTATGTATAAGTATACCCTAACTCAGGTTTTCTGGATGTTAGGTTCAGCTATTCACAAATAATTTTAAAATGTGTTCCTATAATTTATTTTTAATTTATTTAATTTCAAATTCTTTTTGATTAAAAGAAGTGAGAGGATATGTGTTGCTTCCAAATTTGATGAGACCCCTTTGACTTAATAGTAAGATCTTGTGGTATGGAAGATCAGATTTGTAGTCAGAAGCAGAATGAGAAAGTATATACTACAGGAATGTGAAGTTTGTAAAAAGGTTGGGTCAGATGAATAGTATTTATACTGATACTGAAGTATCAGTGAAGAAATGCAAACTATGGCATACTTTTAATAAGCATCCATTCAGTGATTATCCAAGGACCACAATGTGGCAAGAATGCCACATTGAATATCAAGTGTGTCTCTACCTATAAACTGTAAAGAGCAGACACCCTGTCTGTAAAGAGCTGACAACATGGTTGTTTTAAAGTCTTTGAGGAGCTGGCAGTGGTGGCTCATTCCTATAATCCTATAGCTACTCAGGGTGCTGAGACCTGGGCAGCAAAGTCCCTGTGAGACTCTTATCTCCAATTAACTACTCAAAAACTGAAAGTGGTGCTGTGGCTCAAGTGATAGAGCACTAGCCTAGAACACAAAGAGGCTCAGTCCTTGAGTTCAAGCCCTACAAACAACAAAGAAAAAAGTCTTTTAGGGATTCACCAGCATCAAATGAAATTCATTGAAATAAGACTATATATGCCATGAAAATTTTTTATTTTTATTGTTAAAAATAGGTGTTTTTATTTATTTTTCAATTTCAAGTATTTGCTCTAAATTTTTCAAGAATACAATCTTGATGTTTGGAAAACTAAAACACACAGCCTGCTGATGCTTTTCAAGGTTGGTAGCTATTGTTAATTACAAAATTAGTTTGTGTTTTATTGAAAGCTATTAAATAGAGCATTTTAGAAAAACTGTTACATCAGTAACCGTAGGCACTGTGCATAGAAGGTTTAAAGAAAAACCATTTCCTTACAATTTCCTATAGAAGCCTTTGGAATCGGTGTAATTAATTTTGTGCCATGTAAATTTTGCCCAGATTTATAGCATTGCCATTGTACATTGTTGTACATTAATAATCTTTAATTTAATTTAATCCAGCAAATGTTCCAAATATCTTTTATAGTCAAGGCATAGTAAATTAATCTTTACATACATGAGTATTATGGAAAAAGTATATACCCAATTGGGAGCCAGGTTACCTGTATGTGGTCCTGGATATATCACTTTTAAACACAAATTAGAACTATTTTCTAGTTTTTGCCTAAGTTTGGATTAATCCTATATTCAAGTTTTAGTTTTTTTTCTTATCTCCAAGAATCCTAAAATTAGAATAAATAGGCTAAAACATGGGTATTTTGGAAGTTCATGCTTATGAATATCTTATATAACATTTTATCCTCTCATTGTAACTAGACTGAAGTTTTGACAAGCAATTCCCTTCAAATTTGTGAAAATTTAATTTTTAGCACTAAGATTTGGTGTCAACAGAGATTTTTTAAAGTTTCAAATCAGTTAAAGTAAGATTTAAGTTAACAACTTAGACGAGAACGCTCTTTTAGAGAATAGGGTAAAACTCAAATTTGTTTCACCACACTCCTGACCATAATAATCGTTACTGTTTTCAGAGTGCCTATGATGTACCAGATATTTCACAAGTATAATGTCTGATTTTCAAGGATAGGCAATAAAGGAGACTCAAAGTCAGTTCATGAAGTGGCAGTGCTATGATTTAAATCTAGATGTTTTTAATAGGCTACTGGGCTGCTTTTCTGGTTTTGCTTACATTTTCTTGCTTCCAGTTGGTTGCTGTTATTCCTTGATTTGAAAAACCTTGATTTTCAGAGTTTTAGAATTCTTTTTGGTTGTGATGCAGGATCCTGTCTTTGAGGGTAACCTCCAGCATTTTACTTTGGCTTCTATTAATCACAAATATGAAGCTAAAGGAAAGTTAAAGATAGTCCAGAGTAGGAGGCTGCAATGCTTGGTAAGAAATGTACGCATTATCCTGCCCATGCAATTGTAACCCCTCTGTACAGTTTGTTCACAAATAAAATAAAATAAAATTTAATAAAAAAAAAGAAAAAAAAACAATGCTTGCAATGTAAAAAAAAAAGATAGTCCAGAGTCTGATCGTGAATTTTTAAAATTTTTATTGCTATATTTCCTGTGTTATAGAGCAAATCTTGTAATTTAAATTGATGGATTGTGTCATAGTGTAAGGTATTGCTTTCCTTCACAGCCTTAGATAATGTTAGTCTCTACACACATGTAGTAGAACTTGGAAGCTCTTTGCTGGAGAGTTAATCCTGCTGGGTGGTGACACTCTGACTTCCATTCACGAATGTAGCTTTCATTCTGCAGAGCTGAGATGAAAGGTTCCTATAAGGAACCTTTCTTTACCTAATTTGGCAACAGGCTTGCCAGTAGTCTTTGATCCTGCAATCACCATACTTATGCTGCCTTCTGATGAGAGGCCCACAGCTTTTGCTGATAGGCTTGAAGTTACCCTTCAAGGACAGAATGTGCTTGCAGTTCATATATTAACTATGTTAAATTCCCTAAGCATCCAATATGACTTTGCTGGCTGGAGTTTCTCTTGGATCTATGAACATTGCTCTAGCCAGTGTTCTTTCTCTTGTGAGTCTGCCAGCTTGATTGCAGCCAAACTCGCGGCACCTTCAGTGGTACTTATTGACACCACTACTCCTGCTGCTACTCACATCCCATTATTAGGTTTCGTGATGTGTGTAAACTTTTGAATTCTGTATATGTGGGAGGCAGTTTGGACTCATTCTTCCCTAGAATATCCAAAATAGGTGAGCCTAAACAGGTCAGGGTTCATCTGAAGGCTACTGATGCTGATTTGATCTTTATATCTTCCAAAATACTTCATAGCATGTGCCTGTGGGGAGAACAAATGAGTGAAGTAAAGCAAGAGCACCAGCAAGGTCTCCCTTCTCTTCCTGGAGCTTAACAGGAAAAAATTGTTTCACATGTGACATATATTGACTGACAGTCACAGGAAAACATATGTTACACCATATATCGGCTTACCTAGATTGGAGTAGTATGTGTTCAAGAGCAGATTGGATGGTCCGCATGCTGTGGATGGTATTGCACCAGTGGATATGAAATTAAAAGTTGCTGATAACTAAGGAATCTTTGAATTCAGATTTGGAGAAGCACTAGGAACCTCCCCAACGTGCTATAGCTTCCAAATAAAGGTTCATTTGGTATCCAGCCCTTCAAAATGTGATGGATTTTTAGGTGAGCCTCAGCACTAAAAGTTGTGCAGGACCTTTAGCTGCCCTCCCCCAAAGTGCCCAGACCCCATCTTCTAGTCTCTGCAAAGACTTACTGCTGAGCTGTCGTCTTCTTTTTCAAACACAGCTATGTCTAGTGTATCCCCGGCTAGGATGGCCTGGCTACTACGGCTGTAAGCCTCCACTGGTGGTCTCAGGGTGTAAACAAGGTTTTCCCAGTGAACAAATAGATCTTCTCTTGTATTTGAAGGGGGGCAGAGTTGAAGATAAAAAGAACGGCCAGTGGCAAGCTTCAGGCGGAGCTGTTGTTTGTAATTGTTATGGATGGTTATCTTTACAAACTTCAAGGGAAGCAGCCTTGTTAGTTCCAAGGTCTGGGTGTGCTTCTTATTTCTTTCCTGGGTGACCAACGTATATCTGGCATAATCTTCACAAATAGCTGCTGGTCGGGCCAGTAGCATTACATCAGGTAATGTGAGGCTGGGGCTGGTGCGTACAATGCCCACAGTCACCATTCGAGCATGGTTGTGCACATCTATCACTTCTCCTCTTTTGCTGATTTGGATGAAGTCACTCTCGAACATTGGTGCGTACCTGAATATTGTATACTCCCCTTTGTAAAGTTGTTGCTGAAGTTTCCCCATGGAGGAATTAAACATGCCCATTGCAGGGCTGCTCTGGGCTGTGTAATAAGGTAACCTACACTGGCTATTCATGGCTATTTTTGATCAAGACAGCTCCTAGGGGCTGTTCCACACCATCCTTCACATACTTACAGGGCATCCTGTTTCTCTGGCTTCTCTGGCAGGTGAGCAGTTGTCTTCTGCAAGCTTTTTTGTCTCTGGGTGACTGAGGACCCTGTGAAGTGTTGTTCAGTGACTGTTCAGTGCCTTAGGCAATTGGCCACTTGAATGCAAACAATGCCACACCTATAGCATGGAGATAAGGTGGTACACAGATGTCAGGTCATTGTAGATGTTGGGGTCTTCATCCATGTCTCAAGGTGCCCAGACGTGGGCTCTCACTTGGGAAGGACCAACATTTGAGCCTGACATACTGGTTCACAATAGTCTCTTCTCTTTGATTCCATAACTTCAACTGCAAATCATAGGCTTACTGGGCTTCTCCTTCCCAAATGGAAGCATCCACACCCTCCTAAGCTACGCTGCAGGATCTGCTTTTATCCTCTTGCCCATTGTGACCTGTCACCATCACACAACCTTTGTCTCTGTCACTCAGCAGCCCCTCCCTCAGGGCAGGACATTGCTCTTTTCACCCCACCCTACCACTCACCTGCCATACCCTGCCACCTCTTCACAGCTCAGCAAGTTATCTCTTCCCCCAAAAGGAGCCATCTACAGATCTTAATACAGACTGGCAAATTACTTTTAAAAAGTTAGGCTGTTCAATATAGGACTATAAAATATACAGGCTTAACATTCTCTTTTATCTCACTGTTTTAACTCTAGACATTTAGAGACCAATGGACATGTTGGTAAACAGGTTAGTATAGGATGTTTATCAATGTTTATTGTATGAACATAAAATTAATATAAATCAGCAAGGTTAATATGCATAAACAAGATTTATATCTTATAATTGGGTTACAATTAAGATTGGGTAAATAAATAATGATGCTTTGTATCATAGGAAACTTAGTAGCCATGAAAATGATTATGACCTTTTCTGTTTGTTGACACTTTTTTCTGAAGAGGTACAAAGCAAATTTTTAATACTTTTTTATTGTAAAAATACTGTACAGATGTGTTACAGTTACATGAGTAAGGTAATAAGTACAGTTCCTATCGAGCATTGTTGCTTCCCCTTCTGTTTTTCCCTTACCATCCCTTCCTTCCCAAGTCCTCAACTACCCCTTCCACCACTCCCCTGCCGAAGTTCGTTTTCAACATAGTGTCTTGTACATCTCATTGTTACAAAGGGTCAATCTGTATCCCTATTTAAGCATTTTGTTTATACCCTTCCCCTCCCCAAATTAGGGAAGTATATATACAAGATGCAGGGCATGGAATCAAATGCAGTGAAAGCAGTGAAAACAAGGGTTATACATTGGGAGAGGAATATACGAAGAAACAAAAAGATCACATGGTACCTTATTAATACGTTGGAAACAATAGCAAGAAAGGAAAAAAAAAAACACTTGTGTCCCTATCTTGGGGTTCATTTCCCTTAACTTCATTTTATATGGTCATTTGTACATAGTTTTTGACCTATTCTACTTGTCCAAGACATATACTAGTTATTGCAAATAAGGGAAACCATGGGACCTATGTTTCTTTGGGCCTGGCTTACTTCACTTAATATGATTTTTTCCAAGTCTTTCCATTTCCTAACAAACGGGGTTGTGTCATTCTTTCTGATGGAGGCATAGAATTCCATTGTGTATATATACACATTTTCTTGATACATTCATCTAGTGAGGGGCATCTTGGTTGGTTCCATATCTTAGCTATGGTAAATAATGCTGCGATAAACATAGTTGTTCTCGTAGATAAAGTATAGCCTTGTTTGTGATCCTTTGGGTAAATGCCCAAAAGTGGGATTGCTGGGTCATTGGGGAGCTCTAATGTGGAGTCTTTTTTTTTTAATTTTATTTTATTTTACTTGTGAACATACTGTACAGAGGGGTTACAATTACATGGGCAGGATAATGTGTACATTTCTTACCAAGCATTGCAGCCTCCTCCTTTGTTTACCCTTCACATCCCTTCCCAGCCTCCCCCCTCCCCCCCAATCCTAATCCTTCTCCTTCCCCCCCCCCCCCCCCCCCCCGCACCAACATTGTAAAGCTCGTTTTGGACATGACAATTTGTACTTCTCATTGTTGCAACAGGTTAATGTGGAGTCTTTTGACAAAGCAAATTTAAAACTATTAATATAAGTGTGATTTAAAATAATGTGCATATTTTTGGGTATACAAATACATATTTTTTGAGTAGTATGATTTTTACTTTCTTGATACTTTATTCTTTGTTAGGAAAATTACTGTTTTTATTATCAAGTAAAATAGAGCTGTTTTTACATCCAATGTCTTTTTATAGCCACTTTAAATTTTTATTTTTTGTTGATACTAGGGCTTGAATTAAGAGCCTGGGCACTATCCCTGAACTTCTCTTTTTCAAGGCTGGTGCTCTACCATTTGAGCAACAGCTCCACTTCTGACCTTTTTGGTAGTTGATTGGAGATAAGAGTTTCACAGACTTTCCTGCCCAGGCTGGCTTTGAACTGTGATCCCAGATCTCAGTCTCCTAAGTAGCTAAGATTACAGGCATGAGCCACTGGTACCTGGCTATATTTTATGTTTGAATCAACTTCAATTCCTTATGACATTTTAAAACTTTAACTTAGATATCTGCGCTGTGATTATTCATTGAACATAGCTTTGAGCATTGGATTTAAATTCTATAGTTCACCTGATATCATTATTACATTCTAAATACTATGTGACATCAAATGTTGAAAAACTTTGATGAATCTTTCCAGCTATTATAAATATTGCAAGTTCAATAGGTTTCTAATAGTTGTAATGTTATTACTATATATATATATATATATCATATATAGCCATAGTTGTTGAAGTATTAGTCCCCCAAGATGATGCAAATATAGTTTCTTCCCTTTATGTTGAAATTCCTGATTATTTCTGATAGAGTTTTTTCATGTATTTATTGAGAGCTGATTAATATATAAATAATACATTCCATTGGTCTTTCCAAAGTCCTTATATCTTAACTTCCATTTCAATTCTGTTACTCATCATATAATTAGCAAAAACAAGACTAATGGACAGTCAGTAAATTTACATTTAAAGAATAATCAAGTGGTTTTTTTGGTTTTATATAGCAAAGATTGTATAGTAGCATTGGATATGGTTTAATATAATTTACCTGCAGTTTACAAAGGCACTTTTATGTGATATATGATGAAGTATTTGAGGATTTTGTAAGAACATAGTTAAATTTCCTTGTCTCTGGGGAAACCAGAAATCATATTACTTGTAGAGTATATAGACTCTCAGATTTTCCAATTATTTAACCAACAACAGTAGAATTATTTGTTCTTGATATGATAGCCATGATGTGTAATATTCTGGCAAATTTATTCCTATCTTTAAGAGTCTAGTGATATTTATCTGTAATCCCTATAGCTATTAAGAAAACTACCTTCTTAGCATTCATCTCAATACTTGAGAAGCCTAAATGGTTGAATTAAAATCTGTGGAACCTACCAGAGATTAACATAGCTTTCCATGTTCTCAAATCAGATTTCATGTAGTTGCCAGAGATTCTTTTTTTAAATTTTTTGTCTGTCGTGGGTCTTGAACTCTGGGCTTGGGTACCTTGTGCTCTTCAGCTGAAGGCTAGTGCTCTACTGCTTGAGCCACAGTGCCACTTCCTGTTTTCTAGTGGTTTATTGGAGATAAGAGTCTCTTGGACTTTCCTACCCGGGTTGGCTTTGAACCACTATCCTCAGATCTCAGCCTCCTGAGTAGTTAGGATTATAGGCGTGAGCCACCGGCACCCAGCAACAGTTTTTCATACCTGAAAGTGAGGTGCTGCTTTAAAAAATACTCATAAATATGACATTAGGATTTTGCACTTGATAAATACTGGAAGAATTTTGAGGAGCATAATATAAAAACTTACATTGCATTAAACTTGAATGTGCACATTATTCTACTGCTGATGATGCAGAAAGAAGAGGAAAGGCAGACAAATACTACATTATTTTAGAGAATATCTAAATTGCCATAAAGAGAATGTCTGAAGATATTAAAGGCATTGGTTAGAAGAAATTGAGGAGAATGGTAGAGAAATCTTTAATCACCTTAGAGAACATATATATTCTCTGATATCCATATTTTACAGTGATTAGTGATCACCATAAATGTAGGGAGAAATATAAATTTTCAAAGTGCTTTTGGTAAGTATTTAGAAGTAAGTATGGAACATACAAAGTAGATTAATGGAGAATACTCTTTTTGTAGAATAGCAAGCCACAAGATTGTGTTCTATACTTACATGGAAAGCAGAACTAGTATCTGATGAACTTGGATATGTAGTTGAGTAGATTTCTAAATAAAATTTTGAAGGTATGACCTTGTATTTTTTAGTTGTTGCTCATAGTAGAATATACTAGAAAAGAGATAAATGGGGTGTAGAACTTTCAAACAAAAAGAAACCATCCAGATAGTTAAGAAGGCTAAAATTTAGAATTTCACCATCAAGAAAGCAAGCTAAAAATGTGTCCAATCAATTTCTTTTAGAAATTTAATAGAATAAAAACATAAGACTTTTCAATGAAAATATATTTGGACCTTTGAAGAGATTAGAAACATGATCCACCGACTTTCTCAGGCACCTAGATCTTCTTACCATAATGTAGAGCTAAGATCATCCTGAAAGTTGTGAGGCCTTGACAGAAGGCCCATAAGACTTTTGAGAGTGGTATATTATCACAGACACTGGCAGCCTAGACAGAAAGAAACAGAGAACTCTTAAAACAATTGGGTTTCTTAAAATTCTACATACGGGAAATAAGGCTTATAAAACTCAGTTGCAGAAATATGTTAACCTTTTTAAAACAGAAAGAAGAATCCAGTGGATAGGACTGAGACCACAGGACAGAGATTAAAAACTGTAAAAGATTGTTTTTAGTCTTTGAAACCAAATAAAGTTTTCCCAGTTAAATTTCTAAA